ATTAAAATAGTTTAAATCACTAAATTAGTGATTGGCAGAACCCAAAAGTCTTCACTACCTCCATAGGATCAATTTCATTTCCAGCACTAGGAGTTTTAGATCTCATGTCCCTTATCGAATATCTTGTCATTCTCCACTCATTCAACCAAGGTAACACACCCAGCCACCGACTCATCCATCCTGTCTTTAATTTCGGGCACTACCCTAACAAGTCGGTTCTTAGCTTTTGAAACTTCTCACTAGGAGCCTTTGTCTCCCTCGCTCCTTAAGTATTTCAATTTTAATTTCAGGAATTCTAGTAGTCTAGGCATCCGCAATTGTCCTCAGTTCTCGATCATCCCTTCGAATCACTCTAGTTTCTTCGGATAGCCACTTCCAATGATCGACCACTATTAACACCCCACTATTTGGGCTCGAACAAGTCCCTTGAAATTCACATGAAGTCCTAGTCCAGCAAATCGGACCATTTCACCAATGCTCTCTTAGGTCACTCTATCGATAGTGGACCACCGGAAGGCGCCCCCGAGACAATTTAATATCATCATTACCTTCTATAGTGTACACTTAAGAGTAAAAGCTCAGGTAGGTCCAGATACACTAAATAAACAAGATTTGATCACTTCATACTATCCCACATGTATCACACCATATCAAGACTCCTTGTCATCCACTAATTCGAACTTAGATTCTAATTTTCATTTTCACAAGCAGTCACTTAACTTTCAATCCAATTCCACAGTCCGACATCCTAAATGTTTAAACCTAGGGTACACTACAGAGATCTAAAGCCTAAGCTCTGATACCAACTGTGACGCCCCCACTTCTCCCTAAAGCGAACCAAAGGGTATCCGCGGGACGCCTGCCTAGCTCTCGCCAAGACTCAAGCAATTTTCGTCCAAACTTAATACAATACTAGACGTTACGATTAAATATCATAAATACAATCAGTGCGTAAGCATTCAAACTTATCAATATTCAACATCTGCCCAATCATTACATCGGGACCTCGAAATACATCAATATTCAAAATATACATCAATCACAAGTCTAGCCCCAAAGTGCAACGGAAACCCTAAAACAAGAGTACGCCAAGAGAGGTTTCTCCAACATTTCTCCAAGTCCAATCCTGTTAAGAAAAATAAATCTACAGGGTGAGCAAAAACGCTCGTGAGGCTAAGAACACACATACAAGCACGTAGTCCAGATAACAGTCCCAAATAACAGTTCAAGAGATAATTACAAGTAATTAATAAAGCCAGTGAAAGTAAGCAGAAACAATTCAAGGATATAGTAGCTCTCGGGAGCTAAGTTCCATTTGCTTTGCCAGTTCATTCGTATATCTTCCCGCGATGACTCTCCGTCAACCGGGTTGATATTTCCAAATCGTAGATCACCACTTACTTCTCATCCATCCACCCTACACCGCTTCGGGCCCGCACAACATTTATAAAGCTATACTCCATGAGTATGCCATGCAAGATCTCTCAAATAGATCAAGCTTATCATGTGATTCTCATGGCTCACCAAGGTTCCCGATTAAGCCCATGCCGGCTCGAGTTCCAAGGTCGGCCTATGAGTTTGTTAGTCCCCCTTGTATCATGTAAGTGTCGAGGAGATTCACTCCAACGACGTATGCAGCCATAGCATACCATGTCATGTATTCAAGCATTTGACAGGTTTAAGCATGTATTTCAGGTCATGTAAACCTGGCAAAACATGTTAAGCATGAGTCATTTGTTTCAAATGAGAATGAGTGCGATAAAGTACACACTCGACTCCATTTTTCAAAACCAAGTAGGCTAAGCATGTAATCAGGTAAGCCAAGCATGAATCAAGTCCATAGAGTTCAAGTAGCCATACACTTGTCACTCACCGAGCAAATCAAGAAGAAATATTTTCTGGAAGTTCAAGTGTTCACTGTAGGATCCTCTTGAAGGTCCTCGAGTGCACCTGAGCAAAATATAATATATTATCATTCACGTGCCCCAATTATCAAGGAAGATTGTATGTTAGTACAATCTAAGGAAATTTCATGAAAACGAACCTCAATTACTCGTAAATCGAGTTTCAATTAGAGTTTCTTAAAGTACAAGAGCGATCGAGTTTTCATTTTCGGGAAATCAAGTATAAAACTTTCAAGTAATATCGAAGGAATAAGGAGTGCTTGAAAACTCCCTTCCTTTGGAATTCGGAAAATTTTCAGTTTTGATATGATATTTTGAAAAAATCGTATCTCACATTCTACATGTCAAAAATTGAAAAACTTGGTACCGTTGGAAACCTCTTTGAACGTACTAAAAGTTCTTAGAAGACACATTTCCATGATTCTAAATGGAAGATATTCAAAAATGGGCTCAAAGTTACTGTTTCAGAGTACTTAAGGTTGTGTTGGGGTTGGTTTTTCGCTAACTTTGGAAATTCGGTAAACTTTACACGTCGCGAGCTAGCCTCTGAATTCTATAACTCAATTAGAGTTGCAAGTAATGTTTTTAACAGAAAAAGCAGATCAAGAATCGGAGTTTCGAGCACCGAGATACGGTAGCTCAAAGTTAGGGAAAAATTCAAAACTGGTGAACAAATTTCCAGATTTGAGCTTCCAACTTTGGGACCTTAGTTAGGTATCGAAATGGACTTGGATTGGTACAAATTTTGGCAGTATAATACTCCTATATAAAGAGTATCCCTCTATCAAATTTTATGGAAAAATACCTTCGGGAAGGTAGTCACTCAAACAACCAAAGTTTCGAAAATCCTAAGACAAAACTGCCTTGAGTCTTTTGTTTTCCATTCCAAACATTTGGTCAAGGAAAAATTCCTCAAACATGCCTCATTAGTGTAGGCAAAGCCTAAGGAACATTCATGGCACATTTCATAAGTGTTTAGCACCAAAATATTCAGTTAGCAAGTCTACACCAAGCCTTGCATCAAATCTGTCCAAAAGTTAGGGTTTTCAAGTAGCAAGGCAGGTTCCGTATTTTGATCATAAATCACTCAAATTAACTCATAATTGGGCATGGTTTATGGCGTTGGAAAATACATTTGTAGAGGTAAAATTTCACAGAAGAAATCATTCTGAAATTCAGCACACAACTAGCTCGAATTCGAGCCACAAGTTGCAACCTCAGCATTTCGTTCCAGGAAAACAGAGAAACAGAACAGCCGACTTTAAATGGTTGGTTCGGCTCACATACATGGAACCAGAATGTGCATTTTATACCATCGGAAAGGTGGGAATGTCTAGTTTCAACTGCCACTGATGGTACTCAATTTCTACATCGGAGCACAAAGTTATGGCCGAAACACGAAAGCTGGTCAGAGCATTACGGGAACAGTTCCAGATTTACTAGCATTGTGAAATCAATTCATTTGACCCACCAAACCTCAATATTTTTCAATGAAATTTTTTACACCACCTATACAACATATAAACATCATATATAAGTCATCACAACCTCAAAATTCCACAGAAATAGGTACGTTCAAAGCAGGGGCAGAATCAGAACTTTTTACCCCATGCATTTCTTGAAGTTTATACTAATAATACACCATTAATCTACCATTTTGAGCACTAAAACAACATTAAATCCATCATCAATCATCACATCAGCCATCAAGACAAGGGTGGGAGTTCATAGAGCCCACCTTCCAAATTTTCCAACAATAACAACCCCCATATGAGTACAAGAGCTTAAAGGTGTTAATCAACCTCCATAAACCAAGATTAGAGTGTTGGAACATTACCTACTTTGGTTGATGAACTAGGTAGGATTTTCGGTCCTTAGAAGCTCCAAGAAATCCTTGGAAAGCTCCTTGTTTTGTAGCTAGATGAACTTCCCAAGTGTTGAGCTAAGTGTAGTTAAATTTTGGTTGAATTTGGTGAAGGTTTGAGCAAGATTTGGAGATGAAATTTGTGAAACTTGGAGTTGTTTTGTTGCAGCTGATCGTTCGACCAAATGAGAGGGAAAGAGGCGTGTGATATGCTGAAATAAAGCTTCTAAAGTAAGCTTAAATGTGTGGCCACAATTCGCCGAAAGTCAACTCTCTCTCGCGCGTGTACGCGTGCATTTTGGGCTCGATTCTTTTCGAGTTTATTTCACTAGTGCACTGAACCTCTAATGCACTTATATTCATATAAATATTATTCACTCTTAATTGTCCCAAAATAATGGTCTAAAGTTCCTCAATTAATCGCGCGCGTGAAAAGGCGTATTTCCAATTTAGGCGCGATAAAGTGAAACCTTCAAGAAATTCTTGTAACGATCGTACCACTAACTATCACTTGAGTATTTAATCATTAAAATACCTAATTTAGGTCCATTGTATAAGTCTTTAATATTCCAAGCCTATTGTACTCTCAATCGGGTAAAATTTTCAAGCACTATTCACTGTTCTCACTAAACGCGCTCCCAGAAGTTCATTTTTGAAACAAGTCACTTTAAAAATATAATGAAGCTATATTTCCACGTAATTAGATTCAATAGGTCTAGAAAATAATACTCAAAATAAATGAACAAGTAAATAATTAAATAAGCTCAAAATAGGGTTTTAATAGGAGTTTTACGAGTCCTCACATGAGTCGAGTATTAACTCCTCAAATCTCCAATAAATTTGTATCCATGCGTCTTTTGGAAAACTATCCACGCGTGAGTAGTATATGCTCACTTAGAACTTATTCACCTTTAATTCTTGATTAGCTTTTCTTAATCTGCTATTGTCCGTTCTTAATTTCCCCAGAATAATCATACTCTCGAATATAATATCACCTTGAAACACTCGTGTTCATTATCTCTCACCTAAACAATCCTCCGAAAATTGAAGTTGTTAACGGGACATTTTAAAAGCATAATGAAGACATTATTCCATACGAATGGATTTAAAATGGTCGTAATAAATTATTTGGGAAAAACAGGTGGATAAATACTTAATTAAACCATTAATATTCGATAAAAATAAGAAATTTTTCGGGTCCTCACAAGTTTTACAACAAGTATGCCTTTAAAATGGGTTTTAGTGTACGTAAAGACTACCTGAATAAAGACAAAGACGGCATGACCACGTCTAAGAGATATAGTTGCTGCAAGGAAGGTGTGAAGCGCAAGTATGAAGGTGATGTGATGCCAAAGAGGACACGAGCGCCGACGAAAACAGGGTGTGGTGCTAAAATGGTTATCGTGTTGCTTAGAGGGACAATGAAGTACCGTGTGCATGACCTTGCCTTAGAGCATAACCATGAGTTGCACATTGCTCAATGTTCGCACATGATGCCATCACAAATAAAAGTGAGCGAGGCTCAAGGATTTCAAGCTGAAATAAGCGAGGATGCTGGGCTTTCATTGAAACAGAGCCATGAGCTTATGGGAAAGGAGGCAGGTGGGATGGAAAATGTGGGATATACTCGGGAAGACCTGAAACGATATCTTCGTACTCGACGGGAAAGGAATTTGAAATATGGAGAAGAAGGTAACATCCTGAATTATTTTCAAGAGCAAACACTTGAGAATCCATCTTTTTTCATGTCGTACAGCTGGACTGTGAAGGGCAGATAACGAATATCTTTTGGGCTGATGCAGGAATGTTAATTGACTACAACTTTTTTGGAGACGTAGTCACATTCGATACAACCTACAAAACAAATAAAGAATACCAGCCACTTGGAGTGTTTGTGGGTTTTAACCAACATAGGCAAAATTATGATATTCGGTGCTGCCCTTATGTATGATGAGACTATAGATTCTTTCAAATGGGTGTTTGGTACATTTCTAGAAGCAATGTGCGGAAAGCGTCCAAGTACCATACTAACTGACCAAGATCACGACATGGCAGTCACTCTTTCAGTTGTATTGCCTGAAACATTTCATGGTCTATGTACGTTTCACATAACGCATAATTTTATGAAGCATCTTGGCAATCACTACAAGGAAAATAGTGACCTTCCATATATGTTTGGTGCTTGCTTGTATGCGATTGAAAAAGTGGAACAATTTAACAGGTTGTGGGAGGCGATGGTGAAGAAGTACAATCTTGAAAATAATGAATGGCTTTCCGGGCTATATCGAATTCGTGATAAATAGGCAAAGTGCATGATGAAAGAAAGATGGACTGCGGGAATGCGAAGCACCCAACTTAGCGAAAGTCTAAATGTAGCAATAAAAAATCATTTGAAACTGGATCATGACCTTGTGCAGTTCTTTAGACATTTCAATCGGGTGGTTGATGATAAGAGACATAATGAACTCATCGCAGAATATGAAATGAGGCAAAAGCTCCCCATGGTAGGATTGAGGCAAACACCTATGCTTGTGCATGCAGCAGAGACGTATTCACCAACCGTATTTGTTGCATTCCAAAATGAATATGGCGAGTCAACAGCTATGGTTATATTGAGACAACAAGATGCAGGGATGTTTGTGGAGTTTGCGGTGATGAGGTATGATGGAGGACCTGAAAGAATAGTGGTATTCAATCGGAATGATCTAAGTGTACGTTGTAGTTGCAAAAAATATGAGAATGAAGGAATTTTATGTGGGCACGCGTTGAAGTTATTTGATACCGTGGGCATAAAGACAATTCCTCCTGAATACGTTAAGAGGCGATGGACAAGAAGAGCTCGGGTTGGGGACTATTTTGATCGGCGAGGATGGAAAATTGTGGCTGATCCAAAAGTAATCATTTCAACTCGTTATCGGGAGCTCGCTCTAGCCATGATTAAGGTCGCAACTTGAGCAGCAATGTCGGAGAAGAGCAGCAAAGTAGTAATCACCATCATATCCGATTTGGCAAAGAGAGTTGAGCTCCTCTTCTCAGAAAGTGATGAGCGACTTTCACAAAATCATAAAAATCTGAATGTGGAAGAACGGGATAAAATTGAAATTGTAAATGAAATGGGAGAGGCAATAGTCGCAAGAGCCATTAAAAAATGAGGCGGTGGGAAGAGAAGTAGAGTGATGCGAACTTGGGTCGATAAATTTGATAGAATAAAAAAAAAATCTAGATTCTCAAGAACTACGGAGACTACGGTATGGATCCAATTTTTGTGATGGTAAATATTTATGCCAAAAAATTCTTATTATATTACCGTTAAGTAAAGTTTAGGTACCATTTACTATAAAATAACATTATTGTTGTGTCAAATATACAGGTCTCAGAATCGGAGCCGACATCGGTTTAATTTGATGAACACATGTTTATGGGATGCCGTTCATCTACTGACTCAGTTTCGGTTAGTATAAAATGATCAAGGCTTTAGCTTTTATTTAGATGTTTCTAACAGTATAATTAGTTATATGGATGTTACATTATGTGATAATTTTGTTACGCCTGTCATCCTCCCTGATATACCTATTTTGTTTGTTTTATACTATTATTTGGCCCTTCAAAACTCGTAGACGCATTCAAGGAGCCAGTCAGTGAATGGCCCTCCAAACGCTGTTGCTCCCGAAATCGAAGAAAATGAAATGGTATGCATACATTTAGTAGGAAAAATAAAGATTTTGTTGTTCGTATTGTACAACTCCTTTAGGCGTGTTATCATGGTCCACATCTGGACGTTTCAAAGCATATATATTATGTAGTTAACGTATGCTCACTTCTATAACATAATATTTTGTATAATCCGAAGGTCCACCGTTTGGCTAATCAGGGGCCTCCTCCAACAGTCCCTACAGAATGGATGCATCTCAAATTTTCTATTTTTTTCAAACATAACTCCGTCAGAGATATATTAATGGTTTGATATATCGTTTCTTGTTATAATATGTACTCCGATTTAGCTTTTGAACCGAGCAATATAGGCACCGGTAATGATTTGTTGACAGTTGAATATTTATTTTATATCATGTAGGAGGAGCGTGCGGCAATTTCAACACACTGTGATATTGATGGATATCATGTATTTTCACCATCACCGCAGGTGACAAACTTTTATCATTACATCACATATTTATGTAGTACTGTTAATTGGATATTTGGCGATTTGGATATCGTATATTATTAACCGTATGTACCATTAGGTGTATTAGCTGATTTGCCATCGTTACACATTTCAGGAAAGAAATAACACCCAAGGATTGGGACTAACTGTTGACGTCGCCTCCCCTCAGAGGCAGGTTGACGAATGATGTGCACCTCTAATTTTTTAACGACACATTAATTGGTTGACCAAATTATTGAGTTCCGATTATCCATTCATCAAGTTTACCTCATTTGTTGGTGTTGTACTTCTCTGTTGAAGATATTGTTTAGCTTCAATCGCTTCCCTATTGTGAGTTTCTTTTAATGGACAATCTGGAAATGAATTTGTGCATGTCTTGAACGAGATTTGCGGCGTTTTTGGAAGCTCAGTTGTGATTGGATGTCCATGTCGGCCTGGTTGGAAATGCTGCATATCTACGTTACAAGCAATTAATAAGGTGTTACAAGTTATTCATGTGCTTGTACAGGCACCTTCAATATTTCACTGTGTTCAAATTTAGACAAGTGGGTAGAACGTTTATAATCATATCCAGTGTTAATAGTCATCAATTATTCTGTAATGTGTTGTATAAAGTTGTTAAGAATTTATAAAGTTGACTGAAAATTACAGTAACATTTTTCAATACGATTAAACGTGCTTCTTTATGATTATGATATTTTTTATAGAATACCATAACAAATGACTGTCGTAATATATATATGGAAAAATCGTCCAAAACATCCTTCACATTTTGTAAAATAAGTTTTTTCGTCCCTCACTTTTAAAAGTGTAATTTTATGTCCCTTACATATTCACATCAGTCAAATTTAGTCCCCAACTAGGTTTCCGATCATTTTTTGGCCGGAATCCATCATGTGCAAGGTACGTGATCATTTTTGAAGGGTAAATTTATCAAATTATATTTTACATAATCTGATCTATGGTCCTCCACATTTTATAAAATAAAATTTTTCGTCCCTCACATTTTATAAAATAATTTTTTTATCTCTCACATTTCACAAAATGAATTTCTCTATCCCTCACATTTCAAAAAATGAATTTTTCATTTCTCACTAATTATGTGTGTGAATACATTTTTTTTTAAACACATGTATTTGCCTATTTGATTTTACTTAATAATAATAGCATAAACACCATGTATGTAATTAGGCTCAACTTGTGGGATATCTTCTCTTTTTGTATGATTATGACTAATATTTACCAATAGAACCTTAATTTACATATTCTTATTGTATTTTGACCGAAAATAGCTTTATTGGCCAACTTGACAATGAATGCAAGATTTTTTACTAGCTAATACCAGATGAAATCAAATGATCACGTATAATATATGGTATTCGTATTGTTAAGTGAAATCAAATAGACACATACATATATTTATGCTATTCGTATTATTAATTAAAATCAAATAGACATATACATGTGTTTAAACAAAATGTATTCACACACACACATATATATATATATATTTTAGGGTTTCCCTCACACACATAATTAGTGAGAGTTGGAAATATTTCTTTTTTGAAATGTGAGGGATAGAGAAATTTATTTTGTGAAGTGTGAGGGATGAAAATATCATTTTATAAAATGTGAGGGACGAAAAAATTTGTTTTATAAAATGTGGAGGACTATAGATTAGATTATGTAAAATATAATTTGACAAATTTACCCTTCAAAAATGATCATGTGCCTTGCACGTGATGGATTCCGGCCAAAAAATGATCGGAAACCTAGTTAGGGACTAAATTTGACCGATGTAAATATGTAAGGGACATAAAATTACACTTTTAAATGTAAGGGACGAAAAAAGTCATTTTACAAAATGTGAGGGATGTTTTGAACGATTTCCCCTATATATATCATTGTCCAACATTCAGTTGCAATCATAAATAACATCTTTATTGCTCGTTGATGGCACTTAGAATGGTTGGACGTATCATATAGCAATCGACCTTTACCGCTTGTTATTATTTTGTTACGATGGCTTGCTGAATTATTATGTGCCATTTAATCACCAAAAAAATATATTTTGGCACTACATATGGGTTAGATTTTCAGAATGGACGGTTCGCACCATTTTAATGATGTACTACAGGCACTTCGATAGGTTTTATAAGAATCTTCCAAATTGAATTATGATCAAGTAACCAGACGACCAATAATGGGAAGGTAATAGTTTCGCAGAAGAAAATGATAGTACATGGGATAGGCTAATTTCCAGCAGTTAAAACTAAGTTTTATAATACAACAAGTATTCATAACGAAGCGTACAAAATGAGTTACAACCAATTAGGTGTATGTTACAATATGTTACAACTATTGATGGATCTTTAACAGGCATCATTAATATCGAAATTTGTCGGCAAAATGTTAAAATAGAGATTATAATGATTAAACTTTTCTTGCTACCTTGACGAACACCCGACTACATCTCTCGTCATCTGTTGTATCCCATACAACACCTGGGAATGCCGTCATGCATTAGACAATTTGATATGTACCTCTGAAAGTCATCGTCACTTGATTCAGTAAAGTTAAATAGTTCCGGGTCGGATATAAGCATGGGATCTGCTAAAATATTATCAGCATCAAAATCTTTTGACATAACATATCTTTTTGCGGCCTCAATCTCGTGAAACCTGTGTAGCCTACGCTCCATCTGCATAACTTCTTGTTGTAGTCTATGTAATACGCTTGTATCATTCACTTCTGGTCCTATAACAAGCTCTGCCGAACATGTTTTCGGGACTCGGAGGCTATGCCAGCGACAAAATACCTCTAATTCCATTTTTCGCTCACGAATAGACTCCCATATGGGTTCATGTTCTAGAATATAATTGCCGGAGGGTAGGTGCTCGTGGGCGCTATCTTTGAAAATGTGGCCAACTAGTCCCAGAGAATTGTTGGTGTTAAGTGGAGCATTCCTGAAATCACGTTTGACACCATATAAAATCCTCCCATCTGGTGTTTCGTACCTCCTTAGAGCATTGGTTGGACCCGACGATACTTTCCGTCTTTTTTGCCGAACCTTTGGTCGTGAGCTTGTACGAGATCCTTCGAAATTTGGTTGCATGACTATGCTAAGACCTACTGTCTTTT